ATACATAAGGTTGAGAAATAAAAAAAAATATGGGAAAATTAAAACCCATTTTGTCCCTATTCTCAAGAATCACTGTTATACTCTTGTGTTTTGTGCACTCTGGCCTCCTCTGTATGAATTTATGCTAATATTTTGTTTCAGTCAACCTGGATGAACCGCTGCTTCTTCCTGCGCCTTTTGAACCTTGTGTTTTGCTTTAAAGAATATTTAGTTGGAAATTTTGTTTTTACTATTTTTAAATCAGTATTTGTTTTGATTAAACTTTTAATTCTTCAAAAATATAGCTAGAAAAGACAAAGAAAATGTAAATCATTGGTTATGATGATCGCTTGGTTCTGATCAGAAGCTGTGATTTGATAAACAGTAGTAGAAGAAGAAGAGTCCGCCTGTCGTATCAAATGCTCCTCCGGTTTCTTTTATTACAATCGAAGTGAAATGGAGACAAACACACAGGCGCCTTGCATAGAGTGGAGTTCTGAAAAGTGCGTCCGGGTCCGGAGGGAAATGTTCCAGAACCTCCAGGTCCGACCGGAACCTGAAGCTCCTCATGCACAAAGTTCCCCAGACATGAACCCAGAGGTGAGATGAGTCGGACCGGACCAGAACCGGCCTCCCGGTCCGCTCCGCCAGGCCCGAAGCTTTGGTACAATCGATGCAAAACGGAGATATTTTCACACAACAGACAGACATTTACACACAGAGACTCATGGTTCTGTACACGGTTCTCCAAACCCAGGTCCAGTCAGCTCATTACTAAGATAGACGGTTCAGAACCATGCTGGCCCAGAGGGCCGACCCGAACCGACTTTACCAGACCCTGACCCAGATCCGTCAATGGAGAGCAGGAATCCTCATGCACAGGAGTTAGAAAGGCGGCACTACTTCAGCATGCAATATGGAGCTACAACACAGCGCCACCTAGTGGTCTCTGCCAGGAGCAGCTCACGGAGCCGCACCGGACAGACCCTGCATGCAGGATTGGACTGGGAGCACTGGGAGGAAAGTGAAACCACCGCGGCGCCTGTGGTCTGACTCCAACAGGCTTCCGTAGATTTAACATGCAGCGTTTCGCGCGGGAGGACAGACGGATGTCTTATCTTACATTTTGGACAAAGAACAGCGTTTTACTGAGGACATGTCCCGGAAACGTTCATGTGTCCCAGTTAGGAACAGGAAACCATCAGAGGCACTGGGAACAAACCTCACATTCAGAAACTCAGCTGAGCTTCGCAAAAACATCCGGGCTGAAGACATTGGACCGAGAATCAGGCAACATCTGACCAAACGTCATCAACAGGTCAGACGCACCAGCTAGCTGCAGCTCTGCGGCGTCCAGGTGTGTTGGCGCGACGCAAAAATGGAAAAACATCAGCAGTGACCTTAGAGGAGCAGCTGTTCAGTGGTGGGCAAAACTAACTCAGCTGTTATTTCCAGTAACGCTGAAGCGCTACATCAACAGGGTGTTTAGCATAAACACTATACCAACATGTGATTTAGCAGAAGCTAATGCCGATGTGCTAATCATAAACAGAAAGAACAAACTGCTGCTACTTCAAAATGAGAAAATAAACTACTTGAACAATTCTTAACAGTCGATAACTTTATTATAACAACCCAGTAAACTATCGCTTTGGAGTTTATCTGGAAAAATTAGCTTAGCAGGAGCTAACTGTGCTAAACATATTGAAAGTTAGCAAAAACACTAAAAGAGAAACCAGATCTGCGTTTAGCGCAGTAGCGGGAGCGTGCCCACCTCTACAGCTGCAGCTGGTCTGAACTGGGTCATCAGCAAAACCTGGATCCAAACCCAGCAGAACTGAGCAGAACCAGAACCCGGTCACAAAGCCGAGAACCTTTGACCTGAACAGAACCAGGTAATATTTATTATGGCATTCATTATGTTCTGACTCCGGCCCGTCCAGCTCCAGCCATCCAGAACCTTCTGGTGTTCTGGACTCGTACATTCAGCTGCAGGTTTGGTACATTCGCCACCGCGTGGGAAGTGATGTCATCTGTTAGGAGGAAGTGGAGTTTCCACTGGGAGGAAGTGAAAGTATTGCTCATCAGAAAGGTGTGGAAAGTACCGGGCTCTCCAGAACCAAACCCATCAGAACCCGGCCCGTCCTCCAGGAGCGGGTCCAGTTTGTGCGAACAGGTGAGTGAGTGCAGGTAACCCCAGTGTGAAGGTCGGCCGGAGCGGCTGCTGAGATAAAGCACACATGTGGCTCAGTGACAGAAATGGGTTCACATGAAACGAGAAACTTTACAACATCCGGCGGTTCTGGTTCTCCGTCCGTCTCCTCAGAGAACCGGAGCGGCGGAGGAGCAGCAGGTTGGTACGCCGTCTGTTTCTTCTCTGATTCTCCTCAACGAGAGCATGGGATTTCCAGACGCTCCGGAGTTACTCCAAACCGAAGGTACTGGTCTCCTCCACGGCCGTCACCAGCTTCTCATACAGCATGGAGAAGGACGGGTAGGGAGGCAGGTCCAGCCGGTTGAAGCAGGTATGAGCCCTGAGGGACGGAGAGACGGCATCAACACCAACCAAAAGGTTGAACTGAATAAACCAACAAACGGAAGGATAAATCGATGGATGAAGTACTCTTGAGGCTAAATGAAACAGATTTAACCGACTCTGAAAAGTAAAAACTGACCAACAGTCTCTCAGAACGATCGTTCACAGAATCAGCAAACGTTTCGTTGCTAAAAGTCAACAGGGTCAAAGGAAACCTGAAGAGAACACTGGACCAGAAACCTGCAGACAGCTTTTCTGATGAAGTGAGAGCCAGCAGACGGAGCAGCAGAACCGGGCCAGAGGTCCAGTTGGAGTCGGAATCTGGGCTGCTGGTACTAATAAGGTCAGAATCACCTCCAGAACCTTCTGACATCACAGGAAGCCAAAGGACATAAACCTGGACCAATCAGAGCTGGTGGGCGGGGCTTAAACAGGAAACCAGTCTGAACTGGGAAGCTGTGGTTGGTTGTTTATAACTCTCACTGTTTAAGATGAAAATAAAAAGTGAGATATGAAAATGTGTTTCCATTTAGCTGCCCAATAATTCAGAGAAATCCTCCTCAACAGTCTAAATCCCACTTCTACTTTCTTAAACTGTCATGTTTGACGTTTATTTGAGTTGTAACTAATAAGATGATCCTCCGGTCTAATAACTGAGCTCACAGTGCAGCGTCTCTCTCCTCGCCTCACCTGGGTAAAGACGTGATCTTCCCCCACTTCTCCACGCAGAACCTGCGCGGTCCGTTGCTCCCTCGCAGCGAGGCGAAACCTTCGTAAGGAACGCTCGACGTTCCCGTCACGAACTGCAGCAGAAACAGGAAAACCGTCAGCTGCTGAACAAACAGGAGGATTCACAAACAGGCTGCATCAATCATTCCGCTCTATTCTGACTGCCTAGTCAAAGTCCAGTCCGGTTGTGAGGTGTGAATGCTAGTCGACCTTTGACCTCTGGTCCTACAAACCTCGGTCTGGGTTCAGTTTGAATGTGAACGCTAAGCGGACCAGAGACCGCTCCAGAAGCAGGAAGTGGACTGCAGCACAGGGCATTCTGGGTAAATACAACCAAAGCTAACGTGCTAGCCTGGCGCTAGCAGCAGAAATGGCTCCTGGTCTTTAGCCTAAAGAGAAATCCTCCAACACTAAAATCCTCCATCTTGTTTCCATCTGGTGAAGAAGGAAGTTGCTCTCAGTGCCTTCAGAGGTTTTTGTGTCGTTTCCTTCAGTGGTTCTTGGTGCAGCGCCCCCACAGGCCAGGAGGGGAACAGGCTGGTTTGACTCAGCACCACAGCAGCTGGAGGTGGAGCAGGTGATGGAGTTCTGGTTCCAGTAGAACCGGGTCGACTGGACCATCAGGAAACAGTCTATCATTCAGCTGATTGGAGTTCAATATCAAGATTTCATGATCAACTGTATCAAAGGCTTTTAATAAATTAATAAAATGTGCTGCAAAGTTTGTTTTTAACTACAAAACCAACTAAATAATGATTGATTGCAGATAACTTTATCAAGACATGTATTAGTTTTGGCAGGATCAGTCCCCCATATGAGGCTATTTTAAACTGAATGGCAAATATCAAACGACGGTTTTGTTCCCCAGTCGAGTCTCAGATTATCAGCTGGAAACAAATCCTTAAAGAGGAAGGAAACGCTCTGCAGGTTTATTGTTTAAAATTATGTAGAGAGAAACTACTGACCCACTTCAGGGATTAAAATATTATAATTTATATCTTTTAGTAGCTTGCATCTTAATCCAGCTGGAAATTTAAGGTAGAAACTATAAAAATGAATTCATGCTGCATCAGCTGATCTGTTTTTATTAATAAAAGCCACAGCAGCTGCCATAAAGTCCAGATTGGTTTCCTCTCAATGTCCCATAACAATAACTAATATTTAACAATAATAATGATAACGGTGCCTGTTATGTAACGCATTAGCCTCACTGTGGCAGTCCCTCCACCAGGGGGCAGCACCTCTCCTACCTGCAGCAGCCGCAGCCTCTGCTCATTGTTGAACCGCTCCACAGCCGCCCAGAACCAGCGGATCACTATGTGGTTGTCATGGTAACCTGAGGGCAGAGAGACGATGATGGTGCATGACTCAGATGGAAAAAAAAACTCTTCCTCCTCCTCCTGCTGCTGCGACTGAGCAGCTCTGCTGCGATCAAACATTTTAACACAAAATCAGAAAACAATGAAAACCATCTGGAGTCCATCAGCCTGCAGCGGAAGATTAATCCCAGATAATAATAATAGAAAATAATTTTAATTAAAATTAATAAAATAAATGCAAAAAATGTAATTAAAAATGTATTAATTAAAAATAAAAAATCAGAAATTGAACTTAAAGAAAATAAAATGATGCCCATTTTGAAGCATCTATTTAAAAACTGCAGAATTTAAAGTAACTTCTTCAGATTTGCTTGAGGTGGTTTTTGTTTCGTCTGAATATTCCAACAGGAAGAGGAAACAGTTCAACAGTTCAGTCCAACGTTTCCTGTGCCTTACCAGAGGAACCAAACTCTGACATTTCTAAGTCTCTCAATTTTTCTGCGATGTCTAGCAGCCTCTACTTCCTGTTTCCTGCCATGCGTAGCGTCACCGTGATGACATCACGCTTAGCGTAGCCTGGTCGACTCCAAAGCAGCAGATGGAAACTCACATCATTAATATTCTCATTTCTGACACATTTTAAAAGTTTGACTCTTTCACATCCTTTTGGTTTTAGGTGAAGATTCAATAGTCCTGATGAAGATCTGACATTTTAACACATTTAAGGCCTGAAAAGGACCAGATGATTAATGTTTATTATTGTTACTATTTAAAACATAAAAGCTTCTAAGTTTTTGCTGTGTTCTGAACTTGTGCATTCAGTCACAGGTCTTGTTTGTGTGGGAAGTAATTTGATCAGGCAGGAGGAAGTGAGAGTGTTGTTGATCTGAAAGGTGCGGAAGGCCTCTGCCTCGTACCTCCTCTGTACTCGGTGTTGTTCCTCCAGTCGGTCAGGTCGATCTCTGCTGTTCCTGCGATGACCAGCTCCAGCTCCCGGGCGTCAAACACCGACACCAGCCGCACGTCCACCACCTGACGAGCCGCAGCACACACACACACACACACACACACACACACACACAGAGGCAAACACAGACATGAGACCCAAACCATGAGACCCAAACCAAACGTTTCCAACACCCATCTGCTGTTTCTTCATGGAGAAAATCTGTTACTAAAATCAATGAAGCGACACATGAAGTCAAACATAAAGATTCAGAAAGTTTGTTTTCAAAGGAAAATTTAAAAACTAAAGAAACAAAAAGACAGAAAATCATGAACTAAAAGTACCATTAAGCTAGCTTGTGCTGTTTAAGCTAGTAGCCAGAAAAACCAGCTAAAGTTACTCAAAATGCTTAAAATTGATTTAAAAGTTTAAATCTGATATTTTTGTGTTTTTAGGTTTTGTTACAATGTTTCATTTTATACTGTTGTACATAAGTACAACAGTATAAAAGTACAAATAAAATGGATTATTATTAAAGCTAACTGTCATTAATGTGTTACATTTGTTATATATTTTTTGTTTATATAAAGGTTCTCAAGACCCAGCTTTTATTTTGATAGGGTACATCCGCTTATTAACAGGTGAATGTTAGCTAAATATTTAGTTTATAGATGATTTATTTTAGTTTGCAGCCAGATATGTAGCTTGTTAACCAAGTATTTTGTCAAGTTAAATGCTTAGTTTACCAATGGTTATTTTTAGCTAGCTTAGATTTCACTTAAATATTTCGCTAGCTCAGAGCTACAGCTTTAGCTTGGAGCTACGTAGCGGTACCTCATAAAAGCCTCGGACCAGGCTCTCGGTCTGCTGCGCCACGCCGCGCTCGATGCGCCACTTCACCATGCGCTCGATGTATTCCTTCTTGTTCTTCTCGGACACAGGGATTCCCGCCCCGCCGGGCTTCAGCTCTCTCTCTGTGATCTGCAGACAAACAGCCGGTGGGAACTTTGGACAGACACCGGTCCGTTGTAAGGGACGCGTTTAGGGGACGGACCTGTCCGAAGACTTCCTCGTTGACGGTGAAGGTGAGGTCCAGCATGTCCTCGATGTCGTTGTCCTTCATCCACTGCAGGCTCTGGTGGAACTCCTCATCCAGGAACTCGAGGTCGCTGAGGTCACACGGGCTGCAGGCACACAACCAGAACCAGTTTATGGGTGGTACCGGGTTTCTAAAGGGCAGTACCAATCTGCTCTTCCTTCTCCCAGCGCTAACTAGAAACCACCAGTCAGAGCCGGGAGGCGGGTTTTAGAGCTGTCAATCAATCTTGTGTGGAGCTTCTCGTCCCTCCCCTGTTCTCTGCTACACTGCAGCTAGCATAGCCTGCCATGAATGCTAAGCTAGTTAGCATGGCCACCATTAATGGTGGATAAATGGTTTTCCTGTTGGTCCACCATTAGCACATTTAGCGGTGAGTACAGGAGGATGATTAACAGCACTAAGGCCCGCCTCCTGGCTCTGATTGTTTGGTGTTTCCTCAGACAGTAGCAGCAGCTCAGGGAGATCGATGTGTTCACAGTTTATCTGTCTCATAATAAACAGTTTGAACAAATATGGAAAAATATATATTCTTGATAAAACCTACTGCAGCTTCAAAGGAAAATAAAAACTGTGCACTGTAAAATATTCCTAAAAGTTTTAGCCCCTCTTCTTCAGTCCACAGAGGAATTAATCTTTGCATGAACTAATCATTTTCCCTACACGCGTTTATCAGCCGGATGGTTCTGGTGAAACTTTGGGCCTTTCCGACCCGGTGATGCCACCGGAGGAACCACTCACATGCGCAGGAGGCCTTTATAGAACGGGCGAGTGAAGAACGCGTCCAGCAGGTACTGATGAACCAGAGCCAGGCCCAGAATCCGCCCGCTGAACCGAAACCTGGATGCAGACAGAACCAGAGCCATTCTCAGAACAACCATTAAGCTGCTGGTCCGCAGCAGACAGGAAGTGCTGACAGGAAGTCACCATTCGTGGTGGTTGTCCACAAAGGCGGACATGGGGCTGATCTGCACCGTGTACGTGTCGTTGGCCGAATACTCGAATAAACCGTAGTACGGGTTGAAGAGCTCTCTGGACACCAGGAAGAAGAACTCTCTGGACGGTCCGCTGTAGTCCAGCCTGAAACACACAGTGACCTGGAGTTCCTCAGGGCGCGCTGCTCGGCCCGCTCTCATTCAACAGAACCAAACCTCGGACCATCAGGCATCGTCTTCCTCACCCGTCCTCGCCGACGAAGCTGACGTAGAGTTTACTCCTCTGCAGGTCTTTACGGGAATAACACATGATCTGGTTGAAGGCGTCTTCCAGCAGGTGATCTCTGCGGATGATGAGCCTGGAGACAAACAGCAAGAATAAAATATTGGTAAAATGAAAAACAGAAAGAATAAAACAGAATAATACATGTAAAGTTGGTTCTGTTGTGTCATTTTTACCTAAAATACATTCTGTTTGGACTTTTCTAACATTTCCAAACACAAAAGAAGAAATCTAAGACTTTTTCCATTGGAGTTCCTTCAATATCAAAAGAGCCGAGATAAAGTTTGTAACTTTACCAGAATCAGTCGACCATATTTGTGAAATTACCACTGTGGTCTAGTTAAAGTTCATGTTAATGAACAGAAAAACCTGTTATAATTCCTGCCTGAGCGTCTAGATATTCAGTATCCAGTTCAGATGCTTTATTGATCAAATATTGTGAAAGATTCAGAAATAAGTGGGTCTAAAAAATGTCATACTAAATATGAAATATGTCCAGATTCAGATTTCATCATTGGTCTTAAACTGCATTCAGTGAACTGTAAATATGTTCATTCTTTATGTCTTTGATTGATATATTATTTAAGAAATTAAAAACCATCTGGTTACTTTCCCAGCTCATGTGTAAAAACATAATCAATCATGTTAAATGATGAGTCATGCAGTAATCGTGTATTTTTCTGACATACTTGACTTTTCCCGGCCCCTGGCCGTAGCCCTTCGTCTCCAGCTTCCGGTAGAAGTTCCTCAGTTTCGCCTCAAAGTCTCTCTTGTACGGAGCGGGCGCTCGCGCGTTGGCGCGCGGCGTTCCTGCAGCGAACGGGATGAAAGTCAAGGTGCGGCAGAGACAGGAGACCATCAGCAGATTAAACCAAATCACTCCAGAGCAATCAGAAACACTGATGCAGGTTAATCCTGGATTGGTTTGCAGCTTCAGACTCATCAGATTCTCTTCAGCTCAACTCCAACAAACCAAAACAATCTGGAGGAGTTTGTTTGTTTCACACAATTTAATCTGAGAATAAATTAATCTGCCTGGAAGGTGTTTGGTTTTTCTTTAGAAGATAATCCAGATCCTGGGTAAATTCAAGCGTTTTTCTGTTAACTCTGTATTTCTGCTCAGTTTGACTAAAACTAAACTCATAATAAAGTTATAAATGCTTTTAGAACCTTATTGCAAATGATTTGAGTTTAGATAAGAGAACAAAATGATGGTTCATTTTCCATAGATGAATGAACACTTTCCACATTGTTGTTCGTTCATTTGTCACAGTTTGAAGCTAAATATTTAGCTCGTTAACTAAACATTTTGTTCAGAGTATTTAGCTCTCTAAGAAAATATTTCCTGAAAAGTTGCTAAATGTAGCAGCATACAGCCCTGACTGGCTCCGCCCCTCATCCCTGACTGGCTCCGCCCCTCATCCCTGATTGGCTCCGCCCCTCATCCCTGATTGGCTCCACCCCTAATCCCTGATTGGCTTCGCCCCTCATCCCTGATTGGCTCCGCCCCTCATCCCTGATTGGCTCCGCCCACTTTGCTGTCACACAGGGTTCAAACTTTGAGACGTTCAGAACATGTGAGGTCTGGAGCAGGACGTTTCCAGCGTATTTACAGGACGTCTGGCTTTTTATTACTTTCTGAACAAACAAAACAAATTCTTATCGAAATAATCAAAACTTTTTATTGCTGTTGTTTAATAAAAGCTGTGAATGCAATAAAGTGTGAGCAAACAGAGACAGATTTACCTGGAGAGCTCTGAGGAGAAGACAGGCTGTAACCTGGGTGGAGCAATGGCGGCACATATGACATCACTTCCTCCTCAAACAGGCTGGAGACAAAGCATGAGAGGTCAAAGGTCAGAAAGGAGGCAGCCTAAATTCAGTCTCTCAGCAGAACGAATCCAAACACTGTGAGGAAAACATGGCGGACTGGTGAGCTTAAAGCAGAATGAAACTTTGTGATATTTTAGATTTTAAAGAATAACTCCATCAGGCCTGTGCTAGCTTAAATTACTACGCAGGACTGGAGGCTCAGCGGTTAACAACAGAAACAGTTTTCACCTGCTTCTCTCCAGCTTGAACATGAAAACACTGATGTTGCTCCGCCAATCACATCACAGCTGAAGCTAACGGTGGAGGAGCAGGAAGAGAAACGCAGCCGCGTTAGCAAACAAACTGAACGCAGAAACATCATATCAGCTGTCACATCTAAATCAATTCAAATTCAGAACTTTTTAATGCAACCTGGACACAAATTTAGAAATGTTAACCGTTGTCGCGTGTGTTGCATTTCATCGTGAGTAGAGACGACTTTCGCCTGTCGCTGTTGATCATCGCTCCCCTTACGTTGACTCTATCGCCCATTATAGACACAAAAAGTTAGCTAACTTAGTATGTTAGCTGCTAACATACCAAGGGCATGTTAGCAGCTAGGTAGCGGTAGCTTCAACCGCCTCAAGCCACAGAACAAAATGAAGATGTCAGTGAAAGACCAAAACTTTTGACCGTCTCGTGAGAAATAAACTACAAATAAGATAAAATTGTTCTGTCATGACAAAACTTAGAACTAGAGTCAAAGGTCTGAGTTTTAGATCCTTATTTAAAGTCTAAATAAGGACGTGTGAACCCGGTAAATGGTTCCAGAACCGGTTTGGCTCACAGATCGGGTCTCACCTCAGCAGCATGACGAGGTCGGCGTCGCTGGACAGACGGGCGAGTCCGTTGACGCCCTCGCTGCGGATGAACTGGACCTTCTCCCTACGGACACACACAGGGTTAAACAGGCAGGGATCCGGCAGGGTCAAGGGTCAAAGGTCGTGTTCAGGTTACTTTAGGGAGTGGTTCCTGGCTAACTCAGGCTGCCGCTCCTGTAGGACCTCAAGGATGTTGGGTTGCCGTAGAAACGCCACTATCTTGTCATTGTAGGCTGGAGGCAGAGGAGAGAGAGAGTCCAGGTGTGTGTCCAGGTGTGTGTTCTGTCCAGAACCGGACCCGGCCCGGCGGACTCACCCACAGGAACCACATCGTGGTACGGGCTGCGGCTGGACCCGCTGAAGGTGCTGGAGGGCCGGGGCATGGCGGGCAGGCCGCTCTGCCGGGAGTCATCCACCACCTGAGAGAGAGCGGCGGTTCAGGACGCAGCCTGGTTCTGGACCCGACCCAACAACCAGGGTTTATCTTCTTAGTTCTGGCTGGTTCTGGTTACCAGGATCTAATTAGCTGCTGAGATTCTCCCATCCGGTTTGGATCGGACCGGATCGGATCGGCAGAGTTTGCTGATAAGCGGCTCATTATTCTGGTTTTTATTCTGACAAGTTTCTCTGATTACCAACATGGATCTAAAGGTGATCTTAGTGGATCTGGTCC